GTTAGTTCAGCGAGGGCGATTCTGTTCTGGCTAGGAAATACAAACCAGCCAACAACACCTGCCGATCGAATGATAAGTTGTAGATCCGGCATTAACGGATTAGAAAAACATACACTTTTATTCGTCAATTTATTCTACAAAACACAGAATTAAGCATTAGCTTTTGTTTCTTCTTTTTTCTCGGCAGCTTTACGATTTGCTTTTTCTTGCGCCTGGAAAAAGAACGTATCTGACCAGGAAAATTTGCTTGAAATTTCCGTAAAAAGTATTATAAACCAAAACGACTTCTTTTTCGAAATCGCTTAAAAAAAAGCAAATGCTCTCTAACTTCTACGTTCCCTGTCCCAAATGATGCACTTTCCCATCTGGGTTCATCCTTTCCCTCACGTTTGGCCACCAATTTTTAATGCGAATTTGCTATAGCCAATAAATGCATCCAATTAACAAATTAACCTCATCTGCGGCCTGTTTTACACTCCGAAATTCAAATTTTTCGTATTTATGAATGTGCGTGTCTCACACTCTCTTAGCACAAAAGGCCGAATAGCAGCCATTTTTCACCCTTAGGACAACGCTGCTGAAGTAGTTTTTTTTTTGAAAACAGTACCAGGCAGTGATTGCTTCAGGACTGAATCAGAAAATTTTTTTGTTAGTAATTGCAAGTCGCTTTACAGAAAATGCGGTATTCTGGAACAACATCACACAGCACTTCAACAGAGAAGAATCGTAACTTTAAAAATTCTTAAAACAGAAACGAAAAGGAACCGTGACTGTTACGCATGCGGAAATCATCTGCTGTAAAAAAAAAAATCTCAAATTGTTGAGAAAAGAAGAAACCTGCTGCACAAGTGGCACTAGTTTGCCTTCTTTGGCAAGAATTTTCAGTAGCTCCACAATAAACGGTATGTAGTTATGACATCGACGAATATTTTCAGCTTTAAATATCTTCTCTTTTTCTTCTTCGGCAGCAATCAGTGCTTGCAAATGATTCATTTCCTCTTCTCGGCTCTCGGTTTCCATTGTTGACTGAAATTGCAAACCAGAAACATATGATCCACGAATACTGCTAATTTCTGACCCACTTCTTCCTCCTTGGAAAGCTCACTGCTAAGATATTTTTAATCCTCGTCCACAAAGGATGATGCAGCTCTACACACACACGCAGTATGGATGCAGTCTTAAGAAAATACGTTATTTAGATCCACGCAAGCTTTGCTGAGAAAAGAAATAAGGAAAAGGTTGAAATAAGAAACACCAATGATCAACTGAAACTTCTCTCCTACTGGCAAAACTGAGCTTGGTATATTTATTAAAGATGTACTTGAAAGCAAGTAATCGGTCGGTGTTTGTTTACCAATTAAACCGAGTCAAATACAGACCGCTCGAAACATGA